CGAGTTGTCTCGTCTCATTTACACCCCTAGAGTGTGGTGTACCGGAGGGATACTACAAACCAAACATATTTTTTCCTTTTAAATATATTTATTATTTTATATTTGTTGTTGTAATAGAACATGTTTGTTGAGCACAGTATTGTCATCTAAAACAGCCATCATATTTTCTTATTAATTTTTAATATTTTCTTTTACATTTTTCTTTATTCATTTTTGTTCCCTACTTGATTGGGTTGACCATCATTATCAATTAATAAAAACTAAAAGTATATTATTATAAAATCATTAAATTAAATTGAGTAGGTGATTTAGGGATAGTTTATTAAACGTTTATTCAATAAACTTTTATCGGATAATTTTCTTTACCGGATGAACATGATAAGGGTTTAGAATCTTACTCGGTTCTTAACGATAAAAGAATGAAGAGTCTTACCCGGTAAGAGTGGTGAAAGGAATGGAGAGTCTTACCTAATAAGTGAGAGTGACTACTCTTACTCGGGTAAATGTTTACCGGATAATTGTTGCATACTATATCGTTTTGATGCACTATAATCTTACCTAAAAAAATAAATTATAGTGTTCACTCCTACTGATAAGTACTTATTGGATAAGCATTTGAATAAACGACCCCTTTTATGATTCTCAAATATATTTTGTATGATAATATTTATATATTTTCACACAATTCTGTCCACTGGTAAACGGCCCCTTAATGTAAGGGGGAGAGAAATGATTTTTGGAATTATTCACACCAATTAGATTTATTTTAAATCTATCGAGATAATAGAATTATAGAATATAATTAATGTTGAATCTTTAAAATAGAGAATATTTGGAGTTGAATGTAAATTTTTTATAAAGATTTTGACTTTTGATATTTACTTTAGAAAAAATATAGAGAATCAGGTGGATATGCTATAAAATATTAACGTGACGTTTGTTTTTTAAGAGATGCTGAAGTCTGAAATCTGATTTCACTTCTGATTTATAAGAGCTGGTCCTAAAGTCTGAAATCTGGATAAGTAAGATTGTTTATTTTTACGTCTGAAGTCCAAAATTTGAATCAATCAAACTAGTGCAAAAATATAAAAGATAAATAGTTTTTTTTTTTTACAAAAGTATAAAAGATAAATATTTTTTGCTAACAAATCTCTTCCAGCCCTCAAAATAAGAATCATTTGATAAAGGCGGATTAAGATTAAGATGTATCAAGGAATACGTTTACCACTTAAAATTTCAGAGGACATTTAGAGCTTTTAAGCTCTTATTTTAAAAATAAAACAAACGCTCTTAATACCCAAACGTCTGAACGAATCAAACTTTAGATGTATTAAAAGGTAATTTTGAAAAAACAAACAAACCCTAAGATTCAAATCTCCCAAAATATCCATGTGGCTGAGACTGAGAGTATGCTTAATAAGTTTTTGATGGATATTGAACACTTGCTCGATTATTGTGTATTTCAAAATATATGTAAAAACTTGAATATTTTTAGTCGATTCATGATGGTCCTGGTATAGTCTTGATAACTATCAGATAGACTTTGAACGTATGTCCAACCGTTGTGTGTTGAGATATGTAACAATCCGAATTCCAAAGTTCATTTCGAAACCAAGCAACCTATGATCCGATAAGGATCCAATAAAACAGCTTTCCACATCACTCTTCATGATGCTTGACATAAAGAATAATTCTAACCACAAAAATAAATAAACATTCAATAAATGATCCATCAAGGATCATTTGACACAAAATCTTAAGATCTCTACCAAATCCGGAACAACGGAAACAAATAGATTTAGTCAGAGCTAAGGTTCTTACTAATATCTAATGACACGAACCTTTAACGGAACATAAATAACACGACATTAATAGCGAACAAATATTTGAACCCACTCTCATCTCAATGTTACAACTTATGGGCCGTTTACTAAACACTTACTTGGTAAGTACTTACCGGATAAATTTACTCATTGGATGAATATGAGAAGGGTCAAGAATCTTACCGGGTAAGAGCGATGAGAATGTTGGAGAGTCTTACCCGGTAAGTGAGGATGACGACTCTTACCCAGATAAGCGCATATCCACTAAATTGTTGCATTCAATATGTTTTGATATACTAAAATCTTACGTATCAAAATATATCATAATGTTGACTCATATCGGTAAGCAATTGGGTAAACGGCCCCTTACTCTTTTTCCCAAGCTAGCAATCCCAATATGATATACACCTGAAAATGCATTAGCATCCCATGGTGATACCATGTTTCCATAAAACATGCAATATATACAATAAAGCATGCTTACATAATATCAATGCACATTTAGTTACTATGTACAATAAAACACTTCTTGTAACACCTAGGGGTGTAAACGAAAACTTGTGAGCTACTCGAGATAGACCGGTCAAAGCTCGGTCAATACTTGACTCGAACTCGAACTCGAGCTCGACTCGACATATTAACGAGTCAAGTCAAAGCTACCCAATACTCGACTCGAGATACTAGATTATTTCATATATAATTAGAATTAAAGTATGATCATTTTTTTATGATAAAATTTGTAATGTATAAATAATAAAAATGTCTAATATTTTTAAATATTTAAACAAAATTATGCATTTTTTAATTACAAAATTAATCAATTATTATTTTTATTAAAATCACAATTAAAAAAAGACAGAAAAACAATAGAAATGGTTAATGAAATTGTCCCATATTAAAATTGAAATAGTAAAGGAAGAGAGAAAATATGTTATAAAAAGAGAGAGAGGTAATAAAAGTTCTAACTTTGTCTTTTTGATGATAAAGTTTGAAGTTGTTTACTAGTTTTATAAAAATTAAAAGAATACATTTAAGTTTTAAAATTTATAAAAGAAAAAAAAAAACCCTAAAATTTCATAAATTTTAATGGGTGAGCTTGGTACGGGCTTGATTTGAGTTCGAGTTCAAGCTTGATTTGAGTTGCAGTTCGAGCTTGATTTGAGTTCGAGTTCTGGCTTGATTCGAGTTTGAGAAATAGTTTTTGAGTTCAAGTCGAGCTTTGATTTTTATTACTCGTGAGTTTTCGAGTCGAGTCGAGCTTGGAAATTGGGTTTTGAGTTTGAGTCGAGTATAGTAATGTTCGAGCTCGACTTGCATCATTACACCCCTAGTAACACCAATAAAATAATAGAAGAAACTCACGTGGTGCTCTGCTGACTTCCACGATTCCTAACGGTTAGACATTCCTAAACCAAACACATGAATTGATTGAATAGAAAAGATGTTAAACCTCTTCCATTGCCCCACTACTCTCATTATATAAACTTCTAAACAACAATCTTAAACAACACTGCAAATGACTCCCGAACGCCATGAATCAAAAACCCAAACACAGGGACTTATGCAACCTAGCCCGCAACCCAAGCCACAACGCTAGTCACGTGATTCACTGGTTCGATTGGATCAACCCTGTTCAATCGAGATTCAACACTTTGAAAAAAACCAAGTTAAAAACCATCTTTAATTGTTCAATAACGCACCTTTAACACAACTTTTACCCAGGGAACATTTAACTCAAGGTTTTAACACCCTAATTTACAAGATTTTTTTTTATTAACCTGGATATCCAACCCGCTATGCGAGCCGACTAATCCCAGGACGACCACCTGCTTTGCAGATAGCCCGTAGTCACCACATTTGAACCTCTGTGGCCACAAGAGGATTTTTATTCCTCCTTGGATTTGAACCTGAGACCTCCTGATACTTTTAACCTTTAGAGCCAAGCTTAAATCAATCACACATCATGGTTCTAATTTTACAAGATTACAGCAAAGTAATAGGTAAAATTCATACCTTAAAAGACAAAAAAAAAAAAAATCACACACATAAGGGGAACAAAAGGAAGTCAAGAGAATAGAACAAGGATAAATCCTCTTTTACAACCCATATTTACATAAATGATCCCTTAAAAACCGATCACTTTCCAAAACCAACCCAGAACTTCCATTTTACCAGAAAACTAAAATTTTTGAGTTAGTACAAGATAAATGTGAAAAAATTTACAACTTCTCCAAATTATTTCGTGATGATCTTAATATAGCCTTGATAAGTTCTTGACGGATTTAAACATATGCCCAATACGTTGGTGTATGCTTCAAGATAAATATGAGTATATAACAAATTTCCGTTAACATTAATCGAGTAACTAACAAGTCACATACATATGAAACCATTTAATTAGTTGGGTCATCGTCTTTTCATTAACATTAACCAGTAACATTATTTGAGAACTTACATAACATACCAATGACTTGTATACATACAACAGTTAAGGTGAAAATGGCTTCTAATCATAGGGAAGTTGAAAAAGAACCAAGAAGCTATGAGTAATTAGCTGAAAAGATTGTTTTACTACTGGAAGATCGTTTGATAACTCAAAACAATCTTAATGATAAAGCAGTACATAAATCAAACGATTTTAGAATCCAGTTAACCCACAACTCGACACAAATTCTACAATCGTAGCAGCACTTCTTCATATCAAGTGAACCAACAAATTTGTACATTTATTTGAGTTATTTCTCTTACATTACTCCGTTTTTCTTACCTTGACTTAATCGCGGCCACCGCAGCTTCTTTCATTTCAAGCAATGCATCTTCCAAGCATTTGGCTAGAACATCAGGGTCAGGTACAATGTCTTTGGCAACCAGAATTTGCATGTAACCTGTTCCGGCATAGCTTATCATGTGCATTGTAATCGCCTGTCAATAAAAAGGAAAAGATGAACAAATCTTTTTAGGGTTTGTAGACAACTTCAAGGATAAGATCGGGTTTGAAGAACAATACATGTGGTAAACTTGTTGAAGTTGTTTTGATATAGTCCACTGGATGGCCTGCAAACGTGATTTTTTCTGTTGGGCCAACCATATTCGAGATTGTAAACGTCGTGTTACACATAATTTTGTAATTTAACAGGCTTGCATACTGAGAATTAAGAAAAAAAATGTTAGAAAAAAAGAAAATGGAATCAAAAAATTATATCTAATTAATGAAATATTAAAAATGTTTTACATATTACAAAAGGGCCATCGTGGTTTGCAAAAATGTTCAATATTGGTCCCTTTCTCTAACAACTGTTAAATATCTCATTACATGAGAAGCATTTTCGTACTTTTATCGTTCTTTTTATCTTCACTCAATCAAAATCAATTTTATTATTTTGGTTCATATGGTTTTCGATTGACTAAAAGACAAATATATATATATATATATATATATATATATATATATAAAATGATGAAAATGCGTTTCATTTAACGAATTTTTCTAACGATCTTTAGAATGAGGGACCAAATCTTGTAATTTTGAAACTAGAAAGACAAGTTTTATTTTCTACAAACCACAAGGATGAAATTTGTAGTTTAGGAGCCGTTTACCAAACGCTTACTCGGGTAAGTGAACATCAAGTCTCATTACCTTAACGAATGAATATGGTAAGAACCAAGAATCTTACCCGGTAAGAACGAGACAAATACCAAAAGTTTTACCTAGTAAGTAAGCACTTACCAGATGAATTATTGCATACTATACCGTTTTGGTTGACTAAAATTTTACCCGGTAAGTAAGTAATAGTGTTAGATTTTACCGGTAAACACTTATCAGGTAAGTGTTTGATAAACAACTCCTTAGTAAAAAAATTTGATAAAAATACCAAAAGTTTTACCTAGTAAGTAAGCACTTACCAGATGAATTATTGCATACTATACCGTTTTGGTTGACTAAAATTTTACCCGGTAAGTAAGTAATAGTGTTAGATTTTACCGGTAAATACTTATCAGGTAAGTGTTTGATAAACAACTCCTTAGTAAAAAAATTTGATAAAAATATTAATTTAAAGATTAAAAAGAGATCACCTTTGCACCCAAGATGGACATGATGAGATAGCCAAATTTATAGGAAAAAAAGCTCTCTAACGACGACTTTTTCTGGTCAATCATGGTCTTTGCTCTCCTCAAATACTCCAATGGATCCGACCCGCTTCGATAGCAGTATGTGGGTAGTAGCAACATACCAAATTTATTTCCCCATCCCGTCGATTTATTTTTCATCAATTTAACCAGATCCTGTAAAAATACCAGTCTTAAAATTATCTGATAAAAATACCTTGTACCATTTTATAACAATTTGTTTGGATTATTCAGATAACAAGTGTCATAATAAATTGTTTTATAGGACATAAGTTTATAGGATCAAACTATAAAGCATCGTATCTAAAGGTGTTACGATAGGTTTATAGAACACTTTTAGACGGTTTAACAAGTTTCTAGAACATTTTTAAAATACACCGTCGTATTAGCTATTTTATAGAACATTACTTGAAAAAGTGTGTTATATGAAAATACGTATTTAGAAAAATGTCCTAAAGAACTTATTAAGACGTCCAAAAACGTCCTATAAACTTATTATAACACTTTTATATATGATGCTTTTTTTTTGTTCTAAAAATGTAAAAAGACGAAAATACCCTCCCAGAGAAAGAAAGAAAGGAAGGTGAAGTGGGTGGGTGAAAAAGGGTTAGTTCTTTATGTTGATTAAAGGATAGGGTAGGAGAGTCTTTTGTCTCATTCTTGGTTTCTTTAAGGGTGGACATGAAGGGAGAGGTCCACATTGTCACATGGGTGCTGATAACCCAAAATAATACGTGGATGGAAGACGGGCATGTTATGTGTAATGTTTTATAAAGACACTTAAATATTGTTAACGTCTTATAAACCCAATTTTATTGTAGTGATATGTCACATTTCATTGGATTACTCTCTAGAGGAAAACGTCTTAATCTAGCCAATTTAGAAACCTAAGGGGCTGTTTGACAATTGCTGAATGGTTTGGTGCAGAATGATTAAGTGGTCAGAATGATTAAGAGGTTCTCGTGATATAGTGCAAAATGAAATTTGGTAATTGTGTACGATGAAATTAGGGCTCTTAATGGTTAAGGGAGATCCATGATACAAAATCATTCAAAGGGTTTTATAACCATTAAGAGGCAGACTTTTTTTTTCTGCCAAACAAGATTCACCTCTTAACCATTCCGAGGTTGCCTGTTAATGAAACTATTAAAAAGTAAACAAACAATCCGTCACACGTATATATTATAATGTTAAAGTTTGATAGTACAGAGTTAACCTGATATCCTGGTTGAGGTCGTAGATTGACCATGGCTAATCCTGTAAGCCGCAACCCATCATGTAAAGCTAGAATAGACCGTTTAAAATCAATCATCAATGAATTAATTATAGGTATAAAACATCTATTTGACGACATGATAAAGTGTGAAAGACAATAATACTTACATTTTGACGAACGAGCGTCTAAGTACTTTGACAGCCCAAATGAAATGACACCGAACAAGACATCATTTATTGTCTGCGTGTACAAATTTTAAGAACATTACAGATGATTATTACCAAATAAAAATCTCAAAAAACTACAATAAAAAATACGTGTTGTAGTTATTTTACATAATAAAAATTACAATTTAACCACAAGGGTGGTGTCTGATTGGTTTGAGTTTGGTTTCAAAGATCAAAAGTACTAGGAGGTCTCATGTTCAAATCCAAGGAGAAATAAAAATCCCTTTATGACCATAGAGGTTCAAATGCGGTGACTCCGGGCTATCTGCAAAGCAGATGGTCGCCCTAGGATTAGTCAGCTCGCATAGCGGGTTGGATATCCAGGTTAATTAAAAAAAAATTACAATTCAAGTGTTGAAATTTTAAATTTTTTAAAGGAATTAATGTTATTAAATAATTTTAACATGCATTTCATTATTTATTCCTACCACATATTGAATGCTACTTATATTTATTTGCTTACGAGCTAAATAACATAAATCAGTTTTATCCACGTGGCCGTGTTTTAACCTATCCTTTATATTTATTTTTTTTGGTGAATTTTATTTACATCCCCTTCTACAAAATGAGGGGTATAAATAGCAACATTCTTTTTTAACCTATAATAATAATTATTATTATAGTTATTGTATCAATTGTTTGTTAGTCTATGTTATATTATAAAATATTTGATAAAAACTCTTAAAAATTATTTTTATCCATGAATTATTGTTTATTGATGTATATTACTTAAAATTCAAGATCACAAGTAGATTGTGCGTAAGTATAACTTATTAAACATAATCAAATAAAAGATAAACATCTCATTTTAAATGTAAAAAATCTAAAATATAATTAGGATAATTATTGAGTTTTAACAAAATACTTAATTATTATCTTTGTAAAAAGTTATATGATTAAACCAAAAAGTAAAAAAAATGAATTAAAGAAATACACATAAAAAAGAAAAATCTTAAATAGTTAATTTGATGACAATATCAGTATTTTTTCAATTTTTTATGATATATTTTTATATTTATATTTTTAAAAATATAATCATTATCATTTTCTCAACACCACATAAAACCATATTATAACATCGACTGAGATAAAAAAATAAAAAAAAAATTAAAATTAATTTGTATTTCGTTGCATTATACGAATTTCCTTCTAGTATTTTAAAACATAGAAAATTGAGATTTTAAGAATATTAGACAATTTTTTATTCTAATAGATTAATCTTCTAGAACTTTAAGAAGAGCACATAGTTTTTAAAATTTGAAGAAATCCCAGCAAATTATTATTGTGAGAGAATTTTTTTTATTAAAAAACTTTTGAAATTTAATTTATAAAAATAAATAAATAACATTTTATTANATTATATTCTACTGATAAAAATATTGAAATTAAATGTTTAAAAACATAAATAATGTTTCATTATATATATGAAATATTTTAATAATATAATAAATATTATAATCTTTAAAATAAAAAACTTTTGAAGTTAAAAATTCTTTTGAAGATACACTTATAATTTATTTTTTATTTTTTTGTTTTAATTTTTATTTTTATTTTTTTGGGATAGGAATGGAAGGTTTGATTTGAGTACAATAAATTATTTGCTCACTATTCCTTTGTTGCATTTATTTGGTTTGGTTTTTGTTTGTACTTCTAGAATGTGTTTGATGTTCACACAAAACAGGATAATACAGTATAATAAAGGACAAGACATGATAGGATAGAACAATTGTTCAACATTGATAAGATAAAATTGGATAGAACAGAACAAACAAAATGAGCAATTTACTCCTAATACGTTGTTTATTTTAATTAATTTATGTAATTTATTAAATTATAATAGAATAATTAATTTTTGTAACAAAATATATCATTTAAAGTTTTTGTCAAAAAAAAAAAATTAAAATGACACAAAATAAAAAGTTTATGTAGTTTTAAATTTTTATTTTTATCTCTTTTGTACATTATTTTTTATTATTAATATATAATAAATTACATAAATTAATAAAAATATAAAAACTGTAAAAAATAATATTTTGAGGACAGTAAAATAAAAGTTTAAGAAACATAAAAAAATAAAAAAAATTTAAAGAATGAATAAAATGTAAAAAAAGATCTATTTGATGTTTTAGAAGAGAATTAAGTTTTATTTTGAAGTTATATTGGTAAAATATAAGTCTGTTCCACCTTGTTCCATGGGGTAGGGGTGGAACGGGCTTGTTCCACTTTGTTTCTGTCTGTTCCACATAAAAGTCATGCCAAACATGGGAGAGGGATCCCTGTCCTGTTTTGTCCTGTCTTGTCCAGTGTACCAAATGCACCCTTAAAACTACATGAAAGGGTAACTCTGTTTTCCTGGCTTTTCAGGAAATAAAAATGCTATTATTTTAAGGAAATCGGTTGAATAATTATTTTGATCGTATGATTTTATTTTCAGTTATTTCTTTGGAGAGAAATGGTTAAAAGGTGAACAAAATAACTATTTTAATTAATTTCTCAATATTTCATTTTACGCTTTTTTGAATTTACTTAGGGGTCGTTTACCAAACGTTTACCCGAGTAAGTGAACAACAAGTCATTTTACTTTACCGGATGAATATGGTAAGGATCAAGAATCTTACCCGGTAAGAGCGAGACATGGACCAAGAGTCTTACCCGGTAAGTGAAGGCGACGACTCTTACCACGGTAAGCGCTTACCGGGTAACTTGTTGCATACGATACCGTTTTGGTTGAATAAAATCTTATCCGGTAAATAAATGATAGTATTAAATTTACCGATAAACGCTTACCGGGTAAGTGTTTGGTAAACGGCCCGTTAATAATTCTAATACATAAAATGTGAAGTTGAAATTGTATGCGAAACGAAAAACTTACAGTTTTAGGAATGGATTTCTTGACCATTTTCATGTCGTCGATCAAAAATCTTGCAGTCACCAATTTCCTGGGCCAAAGCTCCACCCCAGCTCCGCCACTCACCACCGTCGTCTCATCGCAAACCCACACAACTCTAGCTATGAAATCAACCACAAACACCATCGTGAACCACACCACCTTCAACCACCTCCCCACCATCCCTCCAATGGTCTCCTTCCCACGGTCGCCTCTAGGCGGAGCCACCACCGACATCTTCGTGGGATCGGCGGCTTGCCGACACATCGCCAAAAGAAACGACAAAAACGAGACCCCGTCCCCGAGTGCATGATGAACACGAATCACCGCACATTTGTGGGAAGTCAACAGATGGAGTTCCCACAATGGCTTGTCGGTCTCGAGTGGCACCGACACAGCAAGATCAGCCATGTAGATATTGGCTGCATCCTCGTCATCCTTTGCACCCTCAATGGCGTCGTGACGGATGATGACGTGACGGTCCATGTCGATCTCGGTTTTCCGCCAGTACTCATGGCCGTTCTTGTCAACGACCAAGAGACTGGATAACCGCGGGTGTTTAGCCAACATTGAATCGGCAATAACGGATTTTATGGCCTCGATTCGGAGCGGTTCTTTGGTTCCCAAGCTGCTAATAACGACTATGTTGGTCTCCGGCTGGAGAAACAACCGGCCGGCCGGCGTCAATGGCTGGTCTAACTCATGGCTCATTTTTTTTCACGTTGTTTGTACGTGTTGTGTATGGGTGATGGTTGCTTTGAAGAGGGTGAGAACCATCCATATCAATAATTACAACCACCAACCCTCTTGTTTGAATTAATTACCGACTGACCCTGTAACTTCAGAAAGTTATGCCATAGAATCTTGACGTGTCGTTTTCTTTGAATATCTGCTTTGTCTCAATAAATGCAATTACAACTCAACTTTATTGCCAATGTTTCATCTGGTGTTAAAAAGAGTCGTTTACTAAATGCTTACTTGGTAAGTGTTTACCGAAAAAATTTCTACCGAATAAATATGACATGGACCAAGAATCTTATCGGGTAAGAGCGATGAGAATGATTGAGAGTTTTACTTGGTAAGTGAAGTTTATGACTCTCAGGGACGGACCCATAATTTTTTTAAACGGTGGCACCATTTGACTATAAGGAAAAAAATATAGAAAATTATTTTCAAATGGTGACATCGTTTGACTATAAGAAACAAATATGCGGAATTTTATTCAAACGGTGGCACCGTTTGACTAAGAAAATGACACTAACATGATTCAGACTTGGGTGTGAGGTGGAATAAAAGCCTTGCAAACCAACTCTATCAAATAAAACTTGTTCTCATTGTAGTTTCAAAATATATACGGCGGCACACAATAAATTAATACGGTTGCACCGTTCACAAAACCTAATTTTTTTACCCTTCGGCGGATAAACGATACGGTGGCACGTGCCACCCATGGCACTTAACTAGGTCCGCCTATGATGACTCTTACCCAGGTAAGCGCTTACCCGGTAAAGTGTTGCATTCAATACGTTTTGATGTACTAAAATCTTAATCATCAAAATAAATTATAGTGTTGACTCTTATAGGTAAGCACTTACCGGGTAAACATTTGGGTAAACAGTCTCTAAAAATAAATATTTGTAACAAAAAAGATATATAGTTTAAGAAAATAATTTTTTAATTAAGTAAATGATAAATTAACCCTCAATAATAGAAGGGTAATTAATTCTCCATCTTATAATTAAGAGTATAATTAAAAAGTATGTATTTTCTTTATCCTGAAATAAATGTTTTTATATTGTGTGGCTTAAAATAAGTTTCCAGTTTCAAAAGTAAATGTCTACTTTTCCATTATACCCTTAATTATAAGACAAAGAAAATTTATCTTTTTTATAGTTAAGGGTAAAATTGTCTTTTCAGTCTATCTCTTTAGATTATCTAGAGGTCCCATAAAAAAACTCAAGTTCTTCTCGATACATTCTTACACTAAACATAGAATATTAAGAGTTTTGTATTTGTTTTTTTTTTATATTTCTTTACATCTATAATGGTTATAAGTCCGGTGTATCTATATGCAAATACAATTAATTTGATACTTAAAATATATTTATGGCTAACCAATAATCAACTAACATAAAATCGATCTAGTTCATCATGATCTAAAAACTTGAAAACAAAAGGGGTGGTCTTAAATAACTAATATCTAATGGTGCGACACTCAATGGCGGATCCTGGATTTTTGCCTAGTGGGGATATGTTTAGGTAATGTTTGGTACGCATACATGATTGGACAGGACAAAAGGGTATGACTGGACAGGACATGACAAGACTGGACAAAATAAGTGTTTGTCTAGTGTTTAGTACAACTAGGACTGATGAGACAGAACTAGATAAGTTGTCTCCTAAAGTTATTTTATTATTTTATATATCATATAATAGTTATAATTAAAAGAAATAAAGTAAATGATTTAATTTATAAATATTTTTACACAATTTTCGTATACATAAATATAAAATAGTACAAAATTTGAATGAAATTTTTTATATAATTGATGGTATTTTGATAAAACCCGATTCATACAAAGAAAAAAATTATATTTTACTCGGTTTGGAAGATTCTTATTATTTGGTGAAGGCACGGTAAAGATTGTTGCAACAACAATGATTGTGGAGGTAGAAACATTGGTAATTGGTGGACGATAGTGGTTGTAGAGGACGTGAAGATGGTAGTGGTGGTAGCAGTCGACTGTGGTGGAGGAGGTAGTTGTAGCCTATGTGGTAGAGGTAGGTGTGATGGTGGGCAGTGGTGGTAGTTATAATGGAAGTGGGGGTGGTGGCCGACGATACTAGTGGTGGTGGAGGATATGAAAATGGTAGATAGTGGTAGTGGTAGCCGTAATGATGGCTAACGATTGTAATGGTAACCGGTGGTGGTGGGACAGTGACTTCTTGTATTGTCCCATGTCGCGCCAAACGTGGGACAATGAGTTTTGTCTTGTCCTGTCATGTCTCATGTACCAAATGCAGCCTTAACGTAGATTAAAGGCCTGCAAATTCACCCTATGTGTTTTTAGCCTAATTCTATGTTTCAAGAGATTTTTACAAGTTTTTTGATTGATTTCGAGGGATTTTATAATCTTTTTTTATCAATTTCAAGGGTTTTTTTAAGTTTTTTTATATCGATTTTGAAGGATTTTTTTGATTTTTTTTGTTTGATTTCGGGAGTATTTTTAGTTTTTTGGAGATACTTTTTTTGATTGTTGGAGACCCTAACGAGAAATTACTGGGAAAAACCATCGTAAAAGTTAAAAAAAAAAATAGTTTTTAACCTAGAAAAATTCCTCCTTCCCCCCACAATTTATATTGTGAGTACGTCAATGGCGACACTTATGTCGCGTTCATTTTCAACTTTTTCCCTCTTTTTTGTAAGTACGATATTCTCTTTGATTGTCCATTATCACTTGGGTCTGTAGTTGCATATTTGCGCCAACGATTGAGAATTCTTGCCCGGCCCTTTTCACAACCTTGTCTACATGGTACCAAAGGGCCTTTGGTCTAGTGGTATCGTAGCCCTTGGCCTTCTAGGAGGTCAGGGGTTCAAACCTCACCATAGGTGAAGAGGGTGTATGAGTTTATTTGTTGCATTTGCCGTATATAAATATTATATACTTAAAAAAAAAAAAAAAACGTTGTCTACATGGTGTATAGCTATTATGGGTGTTGTATATCAATGTGTTTAACTCGCTATACACTGGAGTTATTTCCACCTCCAACGCTTTGCATTATTGGCATAAAGATTTTCGTTTGTCTTGGTATATTAAAAAAAAAAACTTACTACGCCTCTTAATCACTTACGTTAGGTCGGTGACAGTGGTTAATAATATAATCAAATTCACAAACATATGAATCACTATCAGCTTTTACGATCACGTTATGCATATTTCAACATGTTGTAGTTACTTCTCCAATTACCTCCTTACAACACGTACGTGATAACCCACTAGTAATAGTAAATCGTGATCGTAACACCCCAAACACTCTCTTTTATATGTATAACTCGTTACGACTCCCGAGCCAATAATCAATTTCAATCACGGGTTTTGATCTCGTCATATAATTTACAAACAAAAAGGAAAAGGCAAGTTAAGTTAAGTCGTTCGAAAAGGTTTAAAATGATCGGTGCATATTATGATTTCACGAAGATGGAAAATATTCTGTTGGTGAAAATGCGTTTGGTTGGTTAAACGAATTGGGAAGGAAGATGAACGCGATCCCCACTTGGTGCTTTGTTTTGGTTACATGTCAACTTCATTCGTACAAAAGGTATATTTGTTATATTCATTATTAGTGTTTATGTACGTTCAAGTGAGTACAATAACTCGACACCGTAAGTCCATAACTCGACATCAACTTCTTCAACACTTTATTCAATGTTGTAAGGCACCACGTTCTTCATCACCGTAACCCAACGTCCATTGAGACTGATCGAGAACCCATCGAGAATTTAGAGACCAATCGAGAATGGTCGAGAATCCATTCATTGACTTGGTATGTGTTTGTATCTGTTAAACCATAATCTACGACCTTCATTTTCCATCGAGAATCTATCAATTGATTTATTATTTGTTTGTGTGTAAAACCATACCAAAGTACATGTATAATCTCAGCTAAAAGAGATTATACATGTACTATTGTATAATATATTACACACTGGTCCCAAATGTACACATTGCTACATACAATAGTAGCTACAAACCTTTTGGTTTTCACAAAGTACATGTATAATCTCAGCTTCCAAAGATTCACAGATGTAAAACAATAATAATTCAATTTACATCTCCCTCTTCCCTTTACCTTTCAGATGTGCCAAACTTATAATGCACATTTTTTAAAACAAAACGAGGGTTATAACGTAAGGTCTAGTGAGTAATATCTTTGTAGATATTATAGGGTAAAAATCACCAAAACACTTTTGGAAAGCCAATCTTTGAAAAGATAACATGTAGATAACATTTATCGTATCAAACCTCATTTTTATCGCATCATATAGATAAGACAACAAATTTCTCGCATCACAAGAAGGATATACACATTTCATTGCATCAAACAGATGCAAAAACCAATTTGTCGCACCACAAGGATGCGATAATCACAAATGGACCTGGACCGGCCCGGGACCGACGGAAGACCGGGACCGATTGGGACCACCGGTTATGGTTTTCATCCAAAAACAAGGCCCGGACTGGTTATAGGCCTGGCTCGGGACCGGCCCGATTTTTTTTTCAAAAAAAATGTATTTCTAGCTTTCTAAGTGTATTTGATTTGACAATCAAATTACAAATTTACAATAAAACATATTTTTTAAGTGTATTTAATTGAAAACCAATTATAAAACTATAATAAAACGTAATTTTTAAGTGTATTTGGTTGAAAACCAATTATAAAACTACAATAAAACGTATTTTTAAGTGTATTTGATTGACCTAATTAGATATTTTAAAGTGTATTAGAATAACATTAAGATATGTTTAAAAATTTATCAAAAAAAATATTAAAAAATATAGAAAGAAAATGTTTTTTTAATATAGGACCAGTTTGGGCCAAGACCGGTTACCGTAACCGGTTATAAGTACCCTTAACCGGGCCTTAGTATTTTCGACGGGATCGGGACTGTTTCAGATTGCTACTGTTTTAGCCCAGGACCGATTTGGGCC